GGCAAGTACTGCGACGACTATAATCGTTGGGAACAGTGCGATGGTTGGGATCTACCGTCAAGTAACTGCATGAACCATTACTCTAGCTCCTCCTCCCCCAACGTAGCCAAAAAGTTACAGATTGAGGACCACTCAACGGGAACATGTTTTAAATTACAATGGCCTCTTGTACTAGCGACCCGTTGACGTTCGACCCGTTTAGCTTCATTGTGGGGGAGTCGCCAGCGATTATTTTTCCCTCGCTTTCAGTACCACACTGTCTCACTTTTATTCCGATGATATCCAATGCAAGCGGCAACACGACTCCATACATCGCTGGTACGCCTCTCTTTATCTCATTGAACATACCGCACCATCTTCAGATAGCTCGATAAACGACGTACACAATACGAACTCCAGCACTCTTCTTCCCCCGATATCCCTACCCCCAGCTTCCAACCTCTACGCTGTCCACTGTGTGAGTCGCACGAGAACTCTTGCCATGGACGGCGCCACCGACCATGCTGCGGTAGTGTATAATGACTTGAGTGATACCCATTCTCTGGCCTCAGACGGTCTCGCCTCCAGCCAACATTTCCGAGTACGACTGGCTCGCTATTAACACGTATGATATGTGGAATGAGATGAATATAATCGTCGGAAGTGTTCAAGAGTGATGATGATACCAACAAGTTGAGTTGCTTGGAGTAACATGACCAGATACTGTACCAAGCTCCTGTGTCCAACAATGAACGCCGGGGACTTTGAGTATGCCTGGGCCGATGATGAAGCCGTAAGTTTTGGGAGAAATTTCTCGAAGCCTTCCGGCAATTCTGGTAAAAGTTGAATTTTAGTCCAACACGGAATCTGCGCCATCTTATGGTATCTCATTCGTTCATCGGGAGTTGCAAGTGTCTTTAATGAGGCTTGTCATTAGAGAATAGATCAGAGACCGGGATACTATACTAATAGCGTTCATGCGGCAGTGTGCATTATCAGCGACTTGGGTGATGTCGACAGCCACGGACTTATTTCCTCGCATGGCCGTTATAAACTAAGTTTCACTGTTTTGTCAGGGAGAATTGAAGAAGGTATCAGCTTTAGAATACATGTCTAACGTGTTGGACTGGTCGGAACGGTACGTCCGCACAAGTCTTCCATCAAACAGGGCTTGTCGTTTTGACCAGGAAAATCACTGATCGTCGTTTTATGCCCAACGAACACGGTCAACCGTATCCGGCCAACTTCAAGGCGGAGGTGGGCGCACCTTCCAGACTGTGCATGCTGTTATGTTTTCCGTAGTTAGCAATCGTTTATAAGCGTTTCTTTCGGCTATACGCTCACATCTACTACTCGCATTTCAAGCAGCTTGAAGTGAGCGGTTAGAGGTGTGAGTGAATGATCTTGTACGTGCTTCAGGATGCCGGGGTGGAGCGACATTTGAACCACTCTTTCAAGCACTTCGTGTACTACGACTCCTTCCGGATCTCTCTGTGTGCTTCACGAGTTGATAGATACTTTGTACGCCGATTCGAGCTCGTGGATGAGTCGGAACTAGCACCACTTCAAAGTTTGATAGACGCATGGAAGATACCCTCTCGAGAGGTTCTTATCGAGATGGCATCCGAACCGTAGCACATGCAGTGACAAGTAAATTCACCTAGTACTACAAGATATAGTATTACTATTCGTAACGGCTTGTAATCTTACCTTATTTTCCGCTCATGAAGCTCGTCATCGGCATGTCCATAGATAAATGCATACTTTTCTTACAGCAGCGTTTAGATGAGTTGTGTTTGTCGAGTTGAACGAAAACATGAAACTTTTGGAGTGTATAATGATGCCAATTTAGCGACGAGGTATGCATCGCCATCCATGCTAACGTGGACGTGAAAGTCCTCGACAATCCGTCCACACCTGTTTATCGATGTGAGAATGATGTAAATCTGTATTTGAATCTTTGTTGATCGAACGCCACCGGAAGGAACACTTTCCAGGGTCTATGGCGTGTACCTAATCTACTCAACACTGTTCTGACCTGTTACGTATTCTGGCCCTGTTCGAAGCTTTCTGACGTGAAGCGAGCACCACAGATGTGTTGTGCGTCACTATGAAGATCTCAATTGTCGCTCCTCCATATCGTCATAGTTTGCTATGATACTAGACAACACAACTCACCAGCATGAACTCATCAAGTGAATCGCAAAAGGAAGTATCAGCGATTGACTCTTATATTAGGCTCATACTTTAATATTTCGTGGTAACAAATGACATTTAATCAGTTATAGGCGAATAAGCCTAATAGACATAGTTAGCTACATAAAGACTCTCACTACCCGGGCCACCTTCAGTGCCCTTGTACTTGCCCAGCTGTGCCTCGCTGTTGGCTTTGGCACGATAGGCGAAAGCTTCCTGGGCAGCCCTCACGTTATCGGCCTTGCCAGCCCAAGTCTTGATGGCGGTAGCTTGTAAAGCACGACCATAGGAGAAGGTTAGAGCCCAAGGCCTTCGTTCCTTGGGCATGGCATTCATGGCGGACAGGTTGACCGAAGCTTCCTCTTCACTCTGACCACCAGACAGGAAAGTGACCCCAACCAAGGCTGGGGGCACAGTCCTCTGCAATGTGCGAACCGTATAGCGAGCAATATCTGCAGGGCTAGGACGATTAGAACACTGCATGCCAGCAGTGACCATATTAGGCTTCAGCAGACACCCCTCAAGGAGAATGTGATGGTCATTCAGGGCCTTGAACACAGCCGTGAGCACCCTCTCAGTGACATAGGCACATGTCTCAATATCATGAGTGCCATCAGCCAGGATCTCGGGCTCAACGATAGGAACGATCCTATGCTCCTGGCAGATAGAAGCATAACGGGCCAAGGTATGAGCAGTCTCGTCGATAGACAGCTGAGACGGCTGATGCTTAGCTTGACTGATCTTCAGCACAGCACGCCATTTGGCAAACCTGGCTCCAGCTTGATAATACTTAGCGCATCTCTCAGCGAGACCGTCGAGACCTTGGGTAGCAGTCTCCTGATCGGAGAGATGCAGAGCAACTAAACCCTTATCGACCTTGATGCCAGGGATAATGCCGGCTTTACGGAGGAGTTCAACCATAGGAGTGCCGTCTGGGGCCTTCTGGAAGAGCGTCTCCTCGTAGAGAATGGATCCCGATATGTACTTGCCCACATCCGGAGTGGTGAATAGAAGGGATCTATAGGCAGCTCTGTTGGCTTCCGTATTGTCAATACCAGCAGCATCGAATCTTTTCTTGATTGTTCCAGTGGACTCATCTGCAGCCAAGATTCCTTTCCCAGGCGTACAAATAGTCTGCGCCGTTTTCACGAGCTCAGCAGCAACGTCTTGATCAATGTGGCGGACGGGCATTGTGCAGCTCGGGGAATTGAGGTGGACGTTCTTTTAGCTTTCCAAGGAGGAAGAGCACGCCGTTGCAATCGATGCATGCGTGCAACGTCTCGCCAGGCAAGTACTCGAAGGAACAAGGCAGTCAGTTGGCTTACGGGTCTGTCATCACCTCTCGTCTCGAATGTCGTTACGGGTTGATAAGATTCTCGTTGGAGCCACATCGTAGAGGGATTGTAGTTGCGCTCTCCATTCGGGCGTGCGCTTCTTGCGACGCTCCAGGCCCAACAACATGCACAGAGAAGGACTAGTCGAAAAATAACGCTGGCTCATCGGTTTGAACCTCGCGATGAGCTTTCAATCAACTCACATGCAATACCTCTTAATAACTTGCTCTGTTCACTCAGCGGTCGTGTTGAATCCCACCCTTCCTCAATAATGTCCGAAGAGAGTGCTGATGCTCTATTCGTTGGCACACTTGATCGCCTAACAGCTGAGCATCCCCATACCGACGACCCAAGATTCGCGTTCCAATCTAACCAATGGAACAACTGTGAGGTATGTCAGTTGCGCCTTCACATCTCTCACATTAATCTCAGCTTCGTTTCACACAGTTTTGCCGTTGCACTCGTGAGCTCGGCGAGGACGACCCAAGATGCAAGTAAGCCTTTGAATCGACCCTCGGTATTGATCCATGCCTTTCTGCTCAGATATCAATACTATCGGGCCCAGACGGTTTGCCATGAGTTCCTTCTCGAAGACTGGATGGAACACAGGCATCGCGGTAGCCTTCTGCGGCTTCTTCTTCGTCCCCGTGACTTGTTGCAGGTACCTGTGATCTCGACATTATGCCCGATCGCCAGGTCATCCATATGAGGCAGTAATGGATGGCCCCCTTTATCATTGCATCATGATTTACACCCATTGCCGAGGCTTTGGGATGGTGAAAGTATATGCTGAGATAGCTGGAGGTTTTTTGAACCTATATACGTTGTACTGGGATTGCGTTCAGTGTGGGGAACGCGTACTGAGACACTGATGCGGTACCAGAGCTCAGGGGGTCTCTTCAAGCTCAGTTTTATGCGATTCCTCCTTTGAACGTGAGTCTCCAGAGCTGTATCACTCATGGAGGAGAGTAAACCGCCCTCAGGAATTCCTCGATCAGCTGGTGATTGTGGATTCAGCACCACATGCATGCCACTGAATGGCATATGTTTCTTCTGGTTTGAGCATGGTGTTGTTGTTCGGCTCGAGCTTTTGCCTCGATACTGAATTATCAAATAGTGCTCCTGTCACTGGTCGTGACTGTATTCACTCGATTAGTAATCGAGTAAATCATTCCGTACACTACCGTTCACTCCGTACTCGAGCCGCTACCGTAATCGATGATTACGATAGAGTTGTGGTAGGATAGTCGGACATAGTTGATGCCGCCTCCCTGGCCTTGTCGTGCTGATGAAGGCCCATACTCACCGACCTGGGCTCGTGAACCTCCGCTAGGCAGTTTTCTTTTCACTTCGTCGTCGTCCTCGTCAGCAGCAGCAATGGAAGATGAGCTTCTGGAAGTCCGTGATTCCTTCTACGTGGGAGCTTATTCGAGATCCCTGCAGCTCTCGGAACAAACAGCTGTGAGCTCCGATATGGTCGCAGCCGAGAAGGAGGCTCTCAACGCTAGGTACTGGACAGGTTTCATAGTCAGTGTTCATCCGCTCAACCACTGGTATAGGTGCTATCTAGCAGCTGGTATGTTGGACCACATCAAAGGCATGCAGCACAGTCCTAACCCAGCTCTAAAGGCTACTGCTTTGATGGCAGTGTGAGGTCTCGCTTTACGCTGCTTCCCGTCAGCTGATGTGTTCAGGTTCCTCCGAACCCCTCACGAAAACCAGCGCAAGACGGCACTTGATCGTCTACAGGAGCTGGCCACTACTACGAAGGATCCGACTGCTCTGTAGAG